CCTTCCAAAGTAATTTATAAACTCAACATAAATCTGAGTGAAAGTCTGAGAAAAAATATTTTTAGTAGTTATCGACTAATATGTAATCATTAACTCCAGCTTATTCTAAATCCAACACAGGAAAACAGAAAGGACAACTGATACAGTTTGGATCTTCAAGTGTCTCCAAAGACTCATGTGAAAGGCTTGATTGCCAGCCTATGACACTACTAGGAAGTGCTCTCTCTGCTACATGGAGAGCAACTTGGTTCTGCCATGTGCTCCCTGCCATGCTATGCTGCCTTGCCACTGACCCAAGGCAACAGGGCCAAGTGACCACTGACTGAAATTTCTGAAATCTTGAGCCAAAGCAAACCTTTCCTCCTTATAAGTTGCTTTATTTCAGCCAATTTTTTTTCTTTACAGTGATGGCGAGCTCACTAACACAACAACTAAAATTGCCAAAACAATTTTGAAAGCAGAATAGGGTTGGAAGACTTGACCTACCTAATTTCGATACTTAACATAAAACTCTAACAGTCAAAATAATGTTGTAAGGGGAAATGTAGACTAATAGACTAATGGGAGTAAAATGAGGAATCCAGAAATAGACCCTCCAAAATGTAATCAATTAATACAATTGACAAAGATGGGAGGCAGTTCAGTGGACATAGAACTGTTATGGTTGATTCATTGTGTCAATTTGAGAAGCTCAGCAGCTTCACTAACTCAGCAGTTCTATATCCTACAGTATAGAGGCAGCTGTTTAGGCTCCAAGATTTTGTAATGGTTGATACATAATGTCAATTGAGAACTTTAGAAGCTTTACTAAGTGACTCAGAAGGGGGCCAGGGTCCTTATTTCGAAGATCCTGAGGAGGCTTAGGGTCACTGTGAGCACAGCCTGCATGCAGCCTAGGGGAGGAAAAGAGGCTTGCCCACATCCCTTTTGCGTTCACTGCTTTTGCTGTTGTCTGCCACCATGAACTGTTGCCACTGTGCTACACCACCCTGCTTTGGAGCCAGCTGATTACTGACTGAAACCTCTACAAACTATGAGCTAAACAAACCCTTTCTTCCTTAATTTTGGCCTTAGTGTATTTTGTCCTAGCAACAAGAGAAAAGTAATGAAGACAAGAATCTTTACAACAAATGTGAACCCTAACTCATACCTCATACCTACACAAAAATTTACTCAAAATGAATCACAAAACTAAATACAAAATGTAACACTTTTAAACTTCTAGAAGCAAACAAAAGAGAAGACTTTTGTGACCTCAGGTTAATCAAAGTCTTTGTTGACAACCACACCCAGTGTCCAATCATATTGTCATTAAGGAAATACCTATTAAAATATATGTATTAGACTGACTTTTTACAAAAACTGGCAGTACCTTGTATTGACAAGGATGTTGGGTAGTTAAACCTCTCCATTGTTGGTGGAAATGTAATTTGGTATACCTACTTTGGGAGAGTCTGTGTTTTTTTTTTTTTTTTCTCATTGAGTTAAATATATACTTACTGTATTATCCAGTATCCCCACTCCTAGGTTATTTATTCAAAACAAATGAAAGCATATGCCTCTACAGAGATTTGTGTATGAATAGCAACTTTATTCAAACTTTCCTAACTTTGAGAACCTGGCCCCCTCTGAGTCACCCAATTATCCTTCAACCTGTGAATGGACTGCTATGGATGAATCTTAGATGAATTTTGCTTGTGAAAGAAGCCAGATGTTGTATGATTCCCTTTATTTGGTATTTTGAAAAAGGCAAATCTATAGATTGTAAACAAATTGGTGCCAGGAATTGGGGTGGGATTGGAGCATTAATTGCAAAAGGAAAGCATTACAGAAACTTTTGGAATGAAGGAACTATTCTGTATCATGCTTTTTCAAAACCCTTTGAACTGTATGCCAGAGACAAAGAGTGAATTTTTCTTTAACAAAATTAAAGACTAAATTTAAAAAAGAGTAAAAATGTCTTAGAACAAATCACTCATCTGGATTTGAAATACAAAAACTGTCTTTCCAGGTTACCATACTGTATCACTATATTTTAAAATTAGACAGTGAGTACTTTTTTAATATTCTGTATAGCATTCAAAAATGGATCTGTTCCTGCTTTGATGTGCAGACGTAAATGACTATAGGTTTTTCTTTGTTTGCACCATTCATTTTAAATGTCTAGTTTCTGTCTGAATCTGAAAACGTTCTACAGCCTTTTGATTTTATTTTAGTATCAAGTCCCATTGAGTCAGTTCTTGGGAAATGCCACCCCCCCCTTCACTATCTTAACGTAGCTAGTGTTTTTCCTTGCATCTTATTTTTCATCAGCCACCATTGGATTTGGTTTCTTTCAACCCCTCTCTCCACTGTTCCTGGATTTTAAAGCCCTGTGATTGACTGTTCAGTGCTGGCACTGGGGGAGGCGGAAACAGCATGGGGGCTGGAGGCAGATGGCTGTGTGGGTGAGATGCAGTGATTCATTTGTTTCATGTGTTGAATTTTGGCGTAGAAATGTTAAGGACCCCAAAAGAAAAGTCTTATTTATATTGAGTCCTTAAGTCATTTTTAACCTTTGGGAGGGCGAGGTCTTCTCCTTTTATAACATCATTAAATCATTCATTGCATCAGATTTATTTTTCCTTTATTGAATGTGAATTATAGTTTCATATTTATTGGATTCTGCCAATACCTTCATAAGGGTCCACTTTTTTGTGCTGAACTTTGGTTTCAAATTCAGTTATACAAATACTTTTTATATTTAGGTTTCTTAATTATGAAAGTGAGGTAGGATAGAAAAAATCAAAATAGGTAGAAAGACAAAGAAAATTGTAATTTTAAAATTGTACTTTTAAGAACACTGCAGCCTTAAGATACAGTTAGCCAAGGATACAGTGACTTTTGATTCTACTTAATAAATTTGTCTGTTATTCACTGACTTGCCCTGAAAAGCTTTTCTGTGCCAGGCAGACTACAAGGGTAGAGGAAAGAGCTGAGGGCCCCCTCTCTTTTGTGGTGTGTGCAAAGGACCTCCTGAGATCTTGTCTGGTGACAAAAAAAATCAAATTTTTAGTAGAAATTGTAGGAAATAATAGAAGAAGTAAAGAAAGTAAAATAATTCAACTGTTACCATAGCTTATGTTTTGGGGTATGTTTTTAGATATTTCTATTAATATTAGTAAGCACAATGAAAGTACCCATTATAATGAACACATTATAATTTCCATAATGTATACAGTATATTTAATATGTACACTATAAATTGTAATGCATATGTTTTAATTTTTTCTTTGTTTAACTGTTTCATTTTTACTATCTTAAAATATCTCTGTCCATTTTTAGGCAAAGAAATTGGCACTTTATAATTGGTTTAATATGCATTTATTAGAAGATGAATAATTTTTGTGTTTATTTACCATTTTGAACTATTGTGAATTTACCTGTTTGTGTTAGTAGTATAATGATTTATTTCATGTATTTATTCTTCTGTTAAATTGAGCAATAAGGGATGATTTACAAAGATATTGCCATTCTATCTGTCAGTATGTAAGTATCTTTAACAAAGTTGTTCTGTTAACATTTTTATTGTAATTGTCAGTGGGTTCTGTTTACTATTACATTTTCCAAATGCTTATTGTAATTATAAAGGGCTTTTTTGGTTTAGTTTTGTTTTTATTTTATGAAATGAGTCTTGCTAAGTCGCCCAGGCTGACCTTGAACTCAGTACCCTCTCTACCCATCCTCTCGAGTAGCTGGGATTGCAGACATGAGCCACTGCACCCTACTTAAATTCTTGGTTTTCACATTAGTTTTGCTTCTTGATATCTCCACCAAGTTGTATTATTACTTCTAATGATTATTCAGGTAATTCTGTTGCATTTTTTGACAGTCATAGCCCTTACAAATAATGATAATAGCGTATTTTATTGCTTAGAAGTACACTTTATTTTCTAAAAACTTTACTGCATTGGTTGAGATTTTCAGAAACTCATTATATGTACTGGGAATAGTTGACAGACTTTTGCTCCTTATTTTTATGGACATACCTGTAAGTACAAAGGTAGCACTTATTTGAAATGTGTGTGTTTCTTCATGTTACGGAAAAGCCCTTATATTTTTAGTTTGCATTTCTTTTTGTTTTCTTTTTGTAGTATTAGGATCAAACCCAGTGCTTCACACTTACTAAGCATGTGCTCTATCACTGAACTATGCCCCAGGCCATTTTGCAGTTGTTTTTAATCAGAAATGAATTTTATATTTTAATTAATATACTTGAGCATCTTGTAGAGTTGACTTTTCCTTAATGAGACATCTTTGCATTTCCAAAATAAATTTTAAACTCGTGGTATAGAGTTCTGACATTGTTAACACTTGGGATGTTTTGTTAGTTTTTCTTTTGTATTTTTGCTTGGTTCCACAAATAAGTTAGAGAATAATCTGAATTTCCTTTTTGTGACATTATTGTCAAATTCTTTTTTACTTGTTTGATATCCATCATCTTTGGCTGATGGAAGAACTTATATTTGTAGTTACATTTCCCTACTTAGTCATGAATTTTCTATTCTTTCACTCCTTTTCCTTGATTATACTTGCCAAGGGCTTACTAGATACTAATTTATTATTTCTTTGGTCTAAAGGCTCTGGATTAACTAATAAACTTACCTATTGGTTTTTTAAATTGCATTTTTCATTTATAGCTTGCTGCTTTGTTGCCTTAGTTAACTTGTTTTAACATTGAAATTTAATAAAAAGCCTTTGCTCCTGCTTTCACTGTTGCAGGTTCTCCTTAGTTTGCAGTAATTATATGATTTCCTTCTTATTTAAAAAAATGCAGGTTTGCTGAACTTTATAAACCCACTTCCGGTAGAACTACAAATTCAAAATTCAGTGGTAAACGAAGGGGGAAAATCCCACTCATTTCCTTATTTCTTTTCTGAGTACTAAGTTACTGAAATCCAAATGTGCTTATTGGGCATGATGTAGGTGTCATCTTTTGGGGACTTTGTTTTCTGCTGCAGATATTGCTGTGGTGGAGATGAGTGATGCCTTCCGCCAACCCTCCCTGTTTTACCATCTTGGCGTGAGGGAAAGCTTCAGCATGGCCAACAACATCATCCTCTACTGTGATACCAACTCCGACTCTCTGCAGTCCCTGAAGGTACCTCCCTTGTTTACTCAGTATTTAATTTCAGCTCCAGCATTCAGGAGACCTCTCAATCACCCAAAACATTTTAAGTAGCTTATGTTTGTGAAAAGATGTTTTGTCTGTGTGATCATTCTGCACCAGTTACTAAAGTTGTGGGGTTTAGCTAGAAATGTGATGATACATAAGAAAATCTTCGTGTTTAGTTCTGAGTTCCAGATCAAGTTGCAGCCAAAGAGCCTGCGTGGACAGGAAGTCATCTATACACCTTGGAGGAAGACAAAGAGAAAGATAAGTCAGGCTTGCCACCTGCCTACAGGGAGCTTCATTGTGCGTACTAAAAGCACACTTGTAACTGAAAGTGCTTTCAGTACAATTCTTTCTGAATATTCTCAGAAAATTTCCCTCTTTTTTTTCACTGAGGTATCACTGGGGGAGTAAAAGCTTTGTACTTTGTCCACTAAACTCAAACCGCTCCTGGCATTCTCTCTATTAATAGGCATTTTCCTGGCATAAAGCATTTATGGCATCCCAAAAGATTTAGGAATAAAAACTACTGCATATTGTCTTCAAAGTTCATCTGTTCTGTTGTAACTCTCTCCATTAAGAGGTGCATACCTAGTATAAAAGCATTTCTTCCATTCAATGAGGTTGCCTAAAATGCTTTCGCCAGGCCATGGGATTTTACATGGTGTGATTCTTTGAAAAGCATCTTACAGTTAGGTGAAATTCATGTTGAGCCTCATGTCATCTGTTTACTTTGTGAAACTTGCAGCTAGCGTCATGTGGCCTCTTCTCATCTCTGTCTTCCAGTTCCCAAATCAGAGCCAGTCTTGGGATATGGAGCCAGAGAATCCGTAACATACTTCTAATGCCTTAGCAATTGTTATATGAAGATTTCCAATCCCTAATCCTTGCAGAAATAGTTCTTTAGTAGCCTTTTGCTTTTATCTGAGTATCTACAGCATGTGTGACTTTCTGTGAAAAACTTGCAGTTTCCTTGGATAAATATATGTATACATGCCAGGCATTGAATTTGGGAGTGATAGGTAGTCCTTTCCAGAACATTCTGAAATAAGAGATTTGCTTCTACCTGAACTAAATCTGATGTGATCCCCTAAGAAACTCTTACTTAATTTTACTTCAGATTGACCCCTTTAATTAGTACACACAAACTTCTGTAGCTATAATTTTAAATATCTAAATTTGGTGTTATTTACAATATATTTGCAATTGATGAAAGAATGACATGATTTTATTCATCTTGGTCCTCTTGGATTGAACATTATCTGCTCATTTTGAGCAGATAGTGTTGTGTTAGAGATTTCTACTGTACACAGTTTTTGCCTTTGTCCTACAAATATCGGGTGATTTAAGTTTATAACCATTCTCTTCTTGGAAAATTTTTTTTCATGAATTAATATTACATTTGAGAGGAGATAAATGTTAATCTCCTTGCAAATTTCTATGTGACAAATAAATTGGACTGATTACTTTCAGTCAGCCTTTATATAGTTTTACTGGTATTTAAATAAAGTTCTTTTCAAAACCTAGTGATATCTAAACTATGCTTATTTATATTGTACACAATAGCTGTTACTTATTGAACACTTCCTGTGTGCTACGTATTCATTGCTACACTTTTTCCACATACATGTTCAGATGTAATTCTTAATTTAGCCTTGCAAGGTATATAATCTATCAGCATTTTATAGATTACAAACTGAGGCTCAGATACACTTAGTCATTTGTCCAAGGTGATATATGGTTCAGAAGATTTAAGACCAAGAGAGTCTGACTCTAAGCCTGTTTGCTAGAACTACTAAGATCAATTGTCATTTACAGATTCACCCCCTGAATATGTGGGCTGTACAGTTTCAGCTAATTATGGATGGGGAACATTGTATCTGTACTGAGCATATGTGCAAGTTTCCCTCCTTGTCATCGTTCCTTAAACAATATGATATGACAGCTATTTATATATGTCATTTTATTATAGTAGTTATGCTAAGTAATTTAGAGATCATTTAAAATATATATGAGAGTGTGGTAGGTTATATGCAGATACTGTGCTGTTTAATGTAAGGTACTTTTTAAAAATATAAAGTACTTGAGCATCCACACATCTTGATATTTTCAGAATGCCCTAAAACCAGCCCTCTGTAGACACTGAGTGATGCATATTGGACATTCTTGCTGACAATGGTCTTTCAGAAAAACCATCGATTGTGCTTTCTGAGTTGACCTATGCAGCATACATCTTTTCTTTCGTCTCTCTTTGTCCTTCCATTGGCTTAAGCATTGGCCATTTCTTATTTAGATCATTTCTAACCAGATAGCCCCAAGTGTCCAAACATAAAGGGCAAAAGTATCTGGGATGGGAAGTATATTTTTGCAATCTAGCAATTTCCTCTGTGTCCTGAAAGATTCTCTGCTACAGAAAAAAGTTGGGGTATGTGTGTTTATTTCTGTTGTAGTGGATCGTAGGTATAATTGCATATATCATGCTAAGTCATGCAAAGATGAGGCAAATAGAACAAAATAAATCATCTTTTTTGTCAGTTGCGAAAATAGAAATGATGCTGTTCTTGTGGGAGAGTGAGTTTCACATACATTAATTCTTTGAACAACAAAGAAAGTACAGCTGCACCAGTTTTATTTTCATTTACTGTTCTTTGTTGAAACAACACTTTCTCTGGCTCATTCTCAAAAAGAAAGCATAGGAAAAAATATCTAAGTTTTAAGACCCTTGAAAATTAACCAGGGAGTGCTATAAAAGTAATTAAAATCTATGTCTGAATTATCATTTGCAAGCATATTTAGAATCTAAACACATCATGTGTTTGCAATAAAATGTATATCTGCTGCTTTAAATCAGAAGTACTATTTGAGTACAGTGATGCTGAATGATTTTAACTTTTTTTAAAAAAGGTCATGATCATACTTTGAAAGAAGGAAGTTGATTTTTTTTACTTAGCATTATAACATATTTTTCAGAACTTTCTTAAATTAATACAGTGCCTCCCTGTACCCATTAATGCTTATTAAGAGAGATTCTATGTTAAGATTTAATTTATTTGAAAATGAGAAGTGCTAGTAACAGTTCTGTCCTAATTTACTTCATGCATTTAAAAATGATTAGGTTTCCACCTGGGATTTCTTAGTAAATGAGAGAATAAATCTGAACTCCACCTTCCAGTGAGCTGTGGTGCAGGTGTCAGAAAAGGCTTGGGAGGAATGAATGCCTCTTGTGTAGCGTGAGGATATTGTTTTAATGAACCACATAGGGGTTAAGGGAGCTTCCCCTTCCTTTTCTGATAGTTTTGTAACTGAATTCACGGAAACCAACAATAGACTGATTAACAGGAAAAGAGGCACGAATTTATTGACACGCCAAGAACGCAAGCATCACCTGAAGCATGGAGCAGAATATTGAAGTTTAAAATGTTTTCTTCCTAGGAGAGAGGGTAGAGATGAATGAATGTAATTTTAGAGAAGGGGTGAATGATTTTTAGCAGGGAATGAATGAACCCAAAGAACAATAATCTGGAGCAAAGTTCACCTGAACTGTGTCTTTAATATAAAATCTAGTCTTTTTTTTTTTTTTTTCCTGCTAGTTAATCTAGGGATGGGGGGAGGCTGGAGAGCAGGGAGGATAAATAATAAGGATCAAGACATGATATGTATGTGTACTGATTCCCTATGATGAATGTATTTACTATATATCACAAACATGTACTAATAAAACATTGTCTGGAGGATCTGTCATCTAGATAGATAAGGGAACTTTAGAGAAAGCCCTTCCTCAGCTTCAGGAGGGAAGAGGATGGAGAGACACTGGGCGGGGGATAATCGGAGATACTCAGTTCTGAGACTGCTTTTTAGCTCAGAGTGCTATCCTTTGGGCTATCATTTTCTGAGCTGAAGCTACAATTCCTTTATGACACCAGTTCACAACTCCAGTTCTTACAATTCTTTCTTCCACCTCATTACATTAGTTCTTTGTCTCTCTTTTGGGTCCCTCCCCATTCACTTTAAACCACGTTGCTCATAACAGGCAAAACTAAACTTTGAAATACCATTACTGCATCAGGTAATTAGTGTGGAAGTGCTTGTAATATAGGTTGCTTAGCTGTGAAGAGGGGAGACGTGTATATCACCAGTGGAAGTGTGTAACAGTACTGCCTTCTGAAGAACACTGGGCAGTATCTAATAATGTCAGGCGAGCTTACCACATGTCTAAGCAATGACAACTCCACATGTGTACTGTTTCAGAAATAAATAAGGGTGTCACATGCATCGAGATATCATGAAGAATGTTGATGAGCCATTGTTAGTAATAGCCCTTCCACTCAAAGGAAATGGCAAATATCTATTAGAACATAAAAAAAACCTTTTGGTACAGGCATTTAATGGAATTTTAAAATGAATCATTTAAGATGAATCAACTAGACCTTTACACATCAGTATCAACATATATCTGGAAAAAGCAACATTGACAGAAAAACATTATACGTGTACTGTATCATACCAGCTATACAAAATTAATTATATGAGACAATGCTACTATACACATTTGTTATGAAAGAAATGTACATGGGAATGATAAACGACATTCAGATTAGTTGCTTGCCCCTTTGTAGGATGAGAGGAATAAAATTGGGAGGAGAAGAGACTTCAATTATAGCTATAATGTAATATTTCTAAATCTAGATGATAGATATGAGTGCTTTTATACTTTTTATAGACTTCAAATATTTCATAATTAACCTTTCTACTCATTTTCTGTATTCACCAGGATAACTTTACATATATTTTGATACTTTAAACTTCAAAATATTATGAGTTGTTTTTACTCTGATGTTCAGGTTACAGCTAGAAAGCCTCATATATATTTGGATCTTTCTGTATTCAGATAGGATTTATTCCAATTTTATTCATTGCAGAAGAAATGATTTTGTAGAGACTGATATGCACATCAACTGGTGGCAACCTAGCCTATGTTTAGATTTAAT